GATCATGACCTCCAGGGAGCCCAACGAGACGATGAGGGGGATCCACCAGGTGCTGGACACAAACAGCTGTGGGGGCAGCTGTGCAAGAAGTCCGTGTGCCGAGTGTGCACAGTGCGCCCAGGTGAGAGCACTTTGTGCCGTGGAGGGTGGAGGTGCGCAAACTGCGGGAGTGTTCACTCGACAGGGTTCAAGTGAGGAGGCTGGCTGCCACCTCCATGGCCTTCAAAAGCAGTGGGTCCAAAATAGCCATTGAGCTTTAGGGACTGCCAGGAATCACCTGGGACACAAGAGGAGAGGCTGCCGCCCTGACTGCACATTGGCCCGTCCTCCCCCACCTGGTGAAGCTTCAGAGACTGGAAGGTTTCTCCTGGCACTTCTCCCCTCCCCCACTCTTCTCAGTCTCTCCTCCATGTCTGTGGGGGAGGGGAGGGGATTATTGTAAACTGCTGAACTTGGTTCTTCCAAACCTTATAGTAAAATCGATGCTCCAGAAACACGCATCACAGGTATTCTGCTGTTTTGCGTCCTCCTTGCATAATTCAGGCGTTATGGAGCTGTGCACACTCCAGTTTGAAAAGTGTGTAGTAATATATAGTATATAGTAATATAGTACTCAGAGTTAATCAGAAAATCTAAATGGAAAAATGACAGGAGAATTATCATGGTAAACCCAAATAGCGACAAATGATTCAAAGCAGTTCTGAATGGATAAAGCTCTGATCTGTACCATAGAGCAGACATGTAGAAACTGCTTGACTTTCATACACTGACTAACATTACCTGACATTTCAGCAACACCAATGGACTTTTTTTTTTTGGACTATGTTAATTAAGGCCAATAGGTCCACTATAGGTTAAAGAAGTCCCATCAACAGGCTGTGTCAGGTGTCAGAAAGGAGTGAGTGTGGTCACCCAAAGTGGCTTAGGGGGTCACTTCACTGTGTGGCTGAGTTTCCTGACTGTATAATGCAGAAGTCGAGCTTGCACTGTGATTCCTTCTCCTTTTTATAACTGGGGCACAGAATGATCACTCTAAAAGGCCTGACCAAGGCATGGGCCGTTCAGCCAGCCCAGGGTTCCCAGGGGTGCTCCTCTGTGAGCCAGTGTCCCTGGTGGTCCAGAGAGAGGATTCATGGCAAGAAACAGTAGCAGCGAGGGATGGAGGGGAGGACAGGAAAGTTGGCTTTTAAAAGGCAAGTGCCAGTTTCGCTAGTGCCCGTATTGACATTTTAGACAGTGAATTTATGGTCTCAGAAACCATCAGGGAGCTTCCATGGGGTTCCTAAGAAGCCTAAAGATTGTCCAGGGAGTCCCCGGCTACCACATGTGGTGGTCAGCTCTAATGACTAAACATTCTGCTAATGGGACCTTGTCCTTCTCTTCTGTGAGCTTCAGGCCTTGGCAGATTGGGCCAGTGGCTGCCTCTCACCTCCCTCATCAGTCCAAGCTCAACTCCACAGGATGGGGTTTGGGTTTTGTTCTAAAGAACAGAGGATCCACTGGAGAGTCCAGCAGGGAGGGACGTGATCCCACTCTAAGACGTCTTGGGGCTGTGGGTGCACTGTGGGCTCTGGGTGGGAGAGGGGAAGCTAGGGGCCCATGGAGGAAGAGGTCACTGTGGTCATCCCCACAAGAGGCGACCTGGTGTGGACTGGGCCCTGGCAGGGAAGAGGAGGGGAGGAGCAGGGAAGGGGTTGGAGGGGACACACTTATTCCTCTCTGACTCACCTGATTGTAATTACCTGGGAATCAGCCTGTCTCCTTGGTAGATAGTCGGCTATTTAGGGGACTTCTTTAGGGGTCAGCAGACAGCCCTTGGTTCTCACCTTGGGCAAGCCCCTTGTCCCTTTGGAGCCTCAGATTCTCACTCTAAGTGAGTCTGGCCATGGCCCCCTCACAGCGATGCTGCGCTACACGAGCTTCCGCAGGTGGAGTGCTGGTCTGGGCGCCCAGCACCTGGTCACTGTGAGACGCTGTGGCCGGTGCTGTGCTCGGTTAGTGCTGTCCCTGGAGCCCCACCGAGCACGGCCTGGGATGGCAGATGTCCTAGCACGCTCCTCAGTTTCCACAGTGACGTCAAAGCTGCCTCAGTCTCTTACACGACTCCATCCCCAGAGCAAAGGTGGGGCCCTTCATCCACACCTGCATCCTCTGACTTTTCTGTTCCTTTCCTGGATTCTGTTCCATGGAACAATCTGTGATGAGTGTTGGAAGATGATGGAGCCTGAATCCAGGTCCCCACAAAGACCCTGATAGGTCAGAGTCTCAAGGAAGCACAGGTCAGAGAATACAAGATTCCCCAGTGTGCATGACGGCCGAGGATCCATCCCCCACAGGACCGGGCCAGCACCCCTGTGCTGTAGGGACACACCATCATTTTTAGTGGGACAGATGGAGGCAGATTTGAGTGATCTATGATTCAGTGAGAAGGTCTTAGATTCCTTCCCCTGGAACTATGGACTTGGATTCCACTGATAAGCCTTGGAAATACAGTCAAGGACCCTGAAATCACATGTGTCATCTTCTATAAAGAGCCTTCTGGGCCCTGATTCTCCTACAACAGGTTACAGGTCACAGGGTCCTTTACAAGGGGAGGTGATGATCAGAAAGATGTCACCCAGGTGCACATTGCAGGTGTGAGCACAGGCCCAGGTCCAGAGCACCAGCCCCAGGCCTGCTGACCCACACTCGGCCACAAAGGGATACATCTGCAAATTGTTTAGGTCGTAATTAATTTCTTTCAGCAATGTTTCCTAGTTTCCAGTGTACTAAACTTTCTATTTGTTCTTAGATTTTCCTTAATTGTTATATATTTTTTATGCTGTTGTAAATGGTGTTGATTTTTATTTTCATTGTTTGATGATTGATTGCTAGTATAGAACACAATTCCATCCTGTGTGTTGTGTTGTATTGTATCCAGAAGCCCAGATTGAAGCAATCAGACCAGGAGCATCTCCAAGTGTCTCCTAGACACTGGGCTGGGTGTGACCAGAATCACCCTCCTTTGGTGTCCTCCAATGTCTCCAGTGAGAGACTTATCTCTGCTCAAGGGATTTCTGCCTGAGAAACGGGAACCGGGTGAGACATTAGCAGATCCACTCTTCTGAGGAAAGTCAGGTGCCGGCTGAGGAGGTGACAACAGCAGTCACCCCCTGAGCTAGATGTGGTGGGAGCCAGTGCGGGGTGACTGGTCCAGGCTAGGAGAGTGGAGGGAGGTTTGCATCTCACTTCCTATGGGTAAGGGTCCCTGAGTCAGTCTTGGAGCTGCTGAGACAGGTGTCACTGTAACATCACCTTCTTCTTCAAGCTGTAGCCCAGAGACATACAGAAAATCTGAGTCAGTCTAAGCATCTTTGGATCCAGAGACGTGGCTGTGGACCTAGAACCCTGATTCTTACTTGAATCCTACTTCAAACTCAGGTGATACTGGGAAGGGCTCCCTGGTTATCCTGTACCAGCTCATCCAGAAGACACCAACACTGAGAACACTGCTCAAGTGCAGGTGAGTCTGGCTGATGTTCCCAGAGGTGCAGAGAGGGAGGGCACTGAGTCAGCACAGGCTTGGAAATGGGATCTGGGGACACACAGGCAGGAGTGATGAGATGGGTACCAGGGATAAAATGCTGGGATTCGGAGCCTAAGGGGCTGACATCTGGTCAGAGCTGCCAGGTCTCTGAGGCCTGTCCAGGCCTGAACAGTGAGAGAGGAGCAGAGGAGGAGAGGGGTCCAGGCCATGGGGACACAGCCCTCCTGAGTGCCAAGCTGGGGCTGGGTGGCCCAGACCTCCTTTATCTTCTCCAGGGGCCTGAAAGAGGAGGAGCTGCTCACATAGACTTTTTCCTCTACTGGAGAATCTGCTGCATCCTGAGCGTGATGAAGCCTGAGCTTGGTTCTTAGACAGACTAGAGTCTGAGGGCCAGACCCAGAGTTGCCCCGTGGGAGGGACCAGGGAGGAAGCAGCTGCAGGACCTCACACAGACCTGAGAGCAGGAGACTCTGCCCAGCCCAGAGAGGACACAGCTGCTGAGTCCCCATCAGCGAACAAGGCACCAATGCCCCAGCCCTGGGGAGTGTGGGGGATTACACAGCAGTGGACACCCACTGTGCAGACCCTGGGAAGGCTCACAGCGCCCCCTGCTGTTCCCTGGTCAAACTTCAGTGTCTCAGTGGAAATGATGTTAGGGACCTTGGCCTGACCTGGTCACTGTCACCACAAACATCCATGGGACATGCCCCAGGCTGTGAGCCAAGTTACAGATATAATCTGATTGTCCAATTTATAAGGGAGCAAATACTTTCCAAAATCAATAAATTATTTAAAAATCTGCCACATACTTAATATTAAAGTTTAGAGAGGTCTTTGAATTACACTATTAAAAAGGTAAAACGTTTTCTTCATTAACTAAGTGATGCTCAAAATCACCAGAACTGAAAAGTGTGGAGGATGGAGATCAGGAGAGCATGAACTATCTCAGCACTGAAAAATGAACTTTCCCAATTGCATCTTTTCCTTCATGATCTTCATTGTGCGATGGTGATGAGCACCTGCTATATAAACAGAACAGCAAATGTGCTGTGGATCTAGCTTATGGATATTTATGAAGAAATTTTAAATATTACTTTGTTTTCCATCACCAAATTGATGAATGAAGTATATCTGTTAATGCTCTTGGAATAAGAAGAGCCTCACACGTTATAGTGGGGTCTCTGAGTCTCACTGTTGGTTGACGTATTTTGGAGCTCATCTCCCTCCCCATCATTACAGTCAGAGAGGGAGAGAGGAAGGAAAGTCTTGGAGGAGTCACCCTAGAGGGATGGACACACCGTGGCAGAGGCTGGAAGAGGCACATGGCGATGAACCACTGGATAGGAGGACGGGGCCATGGACCTCCCTCCCCATGGTGGTGTTTCCACCTCCACCCTCTCACTGTCTCTCCTGCGTTGAAGGGCTGAGCCATTCTAAGCAACTGAGGAAGTTTTGGTTGCACTTCCCCATGGGTTTACATCACTGTGTGAACACTACTACCTGTATACAGAGCACAGTAATAGTCGGCCTCATCCTCAGCCTGGGCCCCCGTGATGGTGAGGGTGGCTTTGTTCCCAGAGATGGATCCGGAGAAGCGATTAGGGACCCCAGAGGCACGGCTGCTTGTGCTATAGATAAGCATGCGGCGAGCCTGGCCTGGGGTCTGCTGGAACCAGAAGGGGTAGTTACTGGTAGAGACTGACCCAGAGCTCAGGCCACAGGTGAGTGTGACCGTCCCTCCTGGAGACACTGACAGTGATGGCTCCTGGGTCACCACAGTCTGAGAATCCACTCCTAAAACCGACAAAAGAGAGACAGAGGTTGTTATGGGAGACAAGGGTCAGCCTGAGACTCTGCTTTTATGTGTCCCCTGAGGACGCAGAGTCCCTTCGCCTGACCTGAGCGGTAAGCGAGGAGCCCGAGAAGAAGCACCGTCCAGGCCATGGTGGGCACGCTGACAGGATGTGGCCTCCCTAGGCTCCTGGGCTGGAGAGTGGTGTCCTCAGGGCCTTTTCAAGCCTCCCAGGCCCATTAGGAGGTGAAGGTGCTTCATGCAAATCAGCTTCCTCTCTCTTCCTGCCCCTGTGTCTCCCTGATGTCCCCTGGGGGAGATCTTGAAAGAGGCAGATGCTGGACCTCACACAGTCCAATGACTGCGTGTGACTGAGACACTGAGTGATGGGGGTTGATGTCGTTCATCAAATCAGCTCCACTACAACCTGCTGACCTGAGTCCTAGGTTTCTGCTCTGGAGGGCGGGAGGGCTGAAGCATGAGATGGGGGCGGCCTCCACCTCCTGGTGGCAGCCATCTAGTTCATCCCATCCTTACCCCCGGCCTGGGAGCTTCCCCTCCTCCTCGCTGAGATCATGTATTGTCTCCTTTGTGGGAAGTTAGTGGGCGCCCCTCCCTCCAGCAGTGAACGCACTGGGAAAGCACAGAGTCTCATCTGGGTGTGTGAAGGGACAGGGTCTCCCTCTGACACAGTCTCTGAAACTGTCCCCAGGAGCAGCAGAGGGGGGATCAGGGCTGGGGGTGCCGACACGCAGCGCTGCACTGCCAGGCTCGGGACAGCAGCTCTCCTTTGCTCTAAGAGCCACCGATAATCCTGAGTAGCTTCAGTGTACCTGCAGGTTTTTAGAAGAAAAGGAATGATATCACCATTAAATTATGAGATTCCTCCCAATCAGATAAAAAAATAGGAAAACATGTGACTAATAATCGAAAATAAAAGTTATAGTGAATCTGAAGAGTGGGTCTGAACATCACGGAGCATTTGAAACTGTTTTCCCCTGACAGTCGCACGTGGAGCGGAAGGCACGGGAAGAGCAGAATAGGGGACTGTGGATGAAGGAGGAGCGAGAGGAAGATAAAATCTCTCCAGTAATGTTTGAAGTTTAGCCACAAAATTGGTGTTCTCACAGTGTGAAACAAAATATTATTATTATTTTTTTGTGTGTGTAAGAAAGACTAGCCCTGAGCTAACATCCGTGTCCATCTGCCTTTACTGTATACTTGACACCACCGCAGCATGGTTTGACAAGCAGTGCATGGGTCTGCGCCCAGGATCTGAACCTGTGAACTCCGGGCTGCAAAAGCGGAGCAAGTGAAATTAACCGCCACGCCACTGGGCAGGCCTCAAAATGTGATTTTATATTGATTTCTGAATTGCTTGTACATTGTCTGTTTCATAAAATGTGCATGGTTATTGTTTTCCTCTCTCATTACCTGTATTTGGGACCCCAACTAATATCAGACAATGATTGGTACTAAATCATTTTGTGCCTTTTAGACAAAGGATTCTCTGATATAGTGGTGAAAAATACGTAATCTTATGTGCATCAAATTTGAAGATATAAAGGTTCTAAAAGTTAAGAGAAAAAGGAAGAATTAGAAAGAATAATTGAAATCTCTGAAAAACACAAACAGTATCAGCTTCCCTGTCACTAAAACATATGGAAATGAATGACCAGTAACATACTACTTAGAAATAACCACTAAAACTATGACAGTTTTAGAGCTAATGCATTTATTATGTATTTCATCATGAATAAGTTGGGAAGTCACAGTAATCAGCCAGGATCCCTGACCTCTGAAGGGAGCCCTGAGCCAATCCTAGAAACTGTCTCAGATGTTCTCAAGGCACAATGGGTCAGAATAATTCTTTCCTCTTGGGAAGACTTTTCCTCTGGAGCCAGTGGTGAATGGATGGATTGGGAAGCTGGGTATGAGAGAAGAACCTGGGGTCCAGGGGCCCCTCGCAGTGCAGGAAGGTGCAGGGAGCAGCGCCCCCCTGGTGGTTCGTTGGTGATACTGCTTTACCCAGGTAACAGCTGTCCCTGGGCTGCTGCTGTTTATCTCTGAAGGACCACGCTGATGCACGCTGCCAACCATGGGCTAGAGCATCAAACAGTCCCATTTCAGTGGGTCCAGTAACCTCATTTTCCTCTCCCACAGTGCGTCAGGGCACCACCGCTGGAAGCTCACAAGCTCTCCCTCCCCTTGGAGCTCTGGCATCTGGCCCAGTACATCTTGATATCTGCCCTCCCTCAAGTTCTACGTTCACCATCACCTAGAGATTTCAGTCACCTGGTCTCAGCCCAGATCTCCCTGGGGTCAAGGTGAATGTTTCTCCATATAACATGGATGCTACTTGCACCTACAGCTGTGTTCATACGATAGTGTTCCTGTCGGTTTTGGTTCCATTGTTTTCCTAGAATCAAAAAATGCGTTTGTGCCACATTCTCTCCTCTCTCTCTCTCTCTATATATGTAGCATACAATATATAATATGCAACATGTAACATGTAATATAATGGTAAAAATATATAATATATGCTATTTCATACATTACATATCTGTATATTTTATAATATATATTTTATATATTAATAAGCATAATGATATTATATATTACATATAATAGTTGTATAATGTTTATATATTTTATACGAAATATATACAATGTTTATTTGTAATAAAAATAAATTGTTTTATTTGACTCTGATATATTTAATATATTTTAAATGTAGTTTCATAATGTTACTCAATATAAGGATTGATATAAAAAGAATATTACTATAAATGGAACCCACTGCCCTATTTAGGGCTTTTCCACCATTCCTACACTGGAAACCCTCATGGTCTATTACTCTACATGCATTGAGTCTTAATCAAGAATTTTTGTTAGAGCTCCAAGGAATTAATGAGGGTTGGGTGTGTAAGACCTAGGTCCAAAAGAGCAGATATTTATCCAACATCTTCCCAACCAAGAACCACAGAGGGAGAAGAGCTGTAGACATTGTGGATTAAAGTGGGGAAGTGAGCACAGGATGGGGCTGCGCTGAGTGTGTAGGTGGATTTGGGTGGTCTTGACTGATACTTCACGATATTAAGACATCCAATCAATGAACGTGGTTTTCCTCTCACTTGTTTAAATCTTGTTTAATTTTTTTCAACAATGTTTTATAGTTTTCAGTTTATAAAATTTTCACCTACTTGCTTAAGTTTACTCCTAAGTATTTTATTATTTTTGATGCTATTGTAAATGGAATTCTTTTCTTAATATCCTTTCCAGCTTCTGCATTGTTAGTATATAGACAACCAATTGATTTTTGTAGGGTATCACTACCCTAACTCGTAGAGGAGATACTAGATAGAACCAGTTAGGGGTTATGAAAAGAGTTTGTTTTCTATTTTGGAACAGGAGCTTCACAAGCAGGTGGAAATGTGAGAGTGATGCTCTGCAATCCATCAGCAAGAAAATGAGCATCACAAATGGGAGACTGTGCACAGATGATGAGTTAAAGAAGAAAAATGGAACCAGGGTTGCCTCCACTACTTATGGGGGAAACAGAAAAGGCATAAGGCTTTTCTTTTTCATTTATATATTCAAGTACTTATGTAGTTATTTGTGAAACATATATTTTAAAAGCACCAACTATTCTGATTGGGGCCAGGTGATAACGTAATATGAAGAGTCAGGGAGGAACACCACCCTCTTTTATGCCTAAACCAGCATCCTGTTAGGAATGAGAACAAAGCACGTCCTTTCAGCTTCCCAGTGTCTCAGGATTTGGCCCCTGGGAGAGGCCTCCGCGTCCTCATCTCCCGCAGGCCCCTCTCTGCTAGGCGACAGGCTCACCTCTCTCCTCAGGCCCCTAACAACCTCCTCCCGCCTCCTCATCTGACCCCGACTCCTCTTTCTCTGAGAAGATCAATGACACTAAGAGAGAACTCCCACAGCTTTCACACCCACCTCAGGCTGTGGGATTACTGGAGGTGGGGGACAAAAGAATGCATTCCACTCCCCTTATTCACGTTTTCTTTTATATTTTCACATGAATCTTGCAATTATTTCCTTATAAGTTCCTGATTATAAATTACCCCCAGATATTTTTACTCTTATTTTATTGATTCATACGGTCATTTACTGAAACATTTTTAATATGTTTACATGTTATAGAAATTATTGGGTATTTATCCTCTATAATAAGAGCATGAGATTCATAAAACCCATAATTTTCAAATACAGGAATGATATTTGAAATGGTTGATACGTAAAGTGACGCGTTAAAGAAATAAGTGAGGATATGTTCCCCAGAGGACAGTGATGTGAGGGGGATGGGGACCATCTAAGTGAATCCTTAGTTGAGAAGGTTGTAAAGACCATCAGTCCTCTCCCAGATGTGCGGATCTGCCCCAACTCTGCACTCCCTGAAGGAGGAAGGAAATGAATGAGGACACTTGGGAGACGAATGGATGTTCCACACAACACTGATCTGTGGGATGATGCATCTTCTCTATGTGAGGTGGTTGTCGGTGTCCACTCGTCTACTCCACATACGTGCCACAGGCTCTGCTTCTGGTCCTAGACGAAGGTAGATGTGAGAACGAGAAGTTGAGAATAGAAAAGAGGAACAGATTCTTAGGAGGGCAGAGCAGAATGTGGTCCAGGGCAGGGCTCTTGCTGACAAAAGTGGAGACAGGTTCCTCGTGGAATCCCAGGTAAAGGTGAAATATCCTCCCTGTCCTCTGAGAATGACAGGTGTATTATATTGGAGAGAAATAGGTAAATTATCCTGATGGGCAGGAGCTCAAATATTTGGAGAACCCCTGGAGAGGCAGAGAAGGTGAATCAAGGAAGAGCAGGGCAGGGAGGAGCAGGGCAGGGAGGAGCATCTGTGCAGAGAGAAAGGACCCCCTCTGCCTGGTTATCATGGGTTCCCCACACGGACTCCCTGCCCCTCCACAGGGAAGTGGTCTGAGGAACGTGCAGAACGTGGGTGAGTGAATGGCTGAGGGCTTGAGGAGCCAGACGGGCACAGAGAATCTGAGGGAAGATTGATCCAGTCAGTGCAGTCCAGTCTCAGCTCAGAGACGCCTCTGTGAGCTCAGACACCTGTCCTCTGTCATCCACCTTGTGCTTCCAATTTGGGAGAGTTCCTCCTCCTTCCTTCTCTCAGGACACCCCACAGCCCCCCTTCCCCTCAGAAGAACCCCATCCTCACCTGCCCTCCCTGATGTCTCATCACTAGAGCAGGGACCTTAATTGTGCTGACTCTGCTGCAGCTGCAGCTCAGGTCTTCACAGTGGGAGCAGGGGGCAGTTCTGGATTCCACATGGGGTGGGGCTGGGCGTTCGGCCCCCTCATTGCAAGTGAGGGCAGGAACTCCTCTCTAAGCTGCACTTGCATAACAGGTAGTGTTCTCATGTGGATTCTATATTGTAAACGAACACGGAACCGTGTAGGAAACATGCACAGCACAGCCTCCTGAGGACCACAGTGGGGACTGGGGATGCTGAGTCTCTCCCATTCCCCCCCTTCATTTTTGTGAATGGAGTCAATTCATGCAAGTATGTTGCTGTCATTTTCCATGTCCAGTCCCTCAGTGACTCAGTTCTGTGTGATGGTTCTAGTCACATGGAGAAGGAAGAGATGACCTGGGTTTTCCCCATGCGCGGAGAGAAGATTGGCATCCAGTTTCTCCATGGGGTTAGAGCAGTCACAGCTGCAGGAGTCAATGGATGGAGATTGTGGATCCCAGTCCCAGCAGGGCAGGCTCAGCCTTTTCCCACATGAGATGGGGGCAGGGGTGGCATCTGTCTCCACTCTCTTGTCAAAGTCACAGCGCCCCCTGGTGGCCACAGAATCACAACCCTGTATTTAAATCACACAGCTGGGCACTACAAGCTGGTTAACTGGCTTCTGATAGCTTTTCCTACATCTAGAGAGGGAAGACTGGGTGGCTGGACTATTGGTTCCCAAGGCGCTTCCCTGCGGAGTCTCCACAGCCTGGAGGAATCCCCAGTTGGCCTGTTTCACCCTCCCCCGCCCCTGCAGGGACATCTGTGATCCCCACTGTGACTGGGTCACGGTTCACTCTGCATTGAGGTTCCAGGCACCCTACTCACAAATTCATAAATTATCTCTTTACTTAATAGTCACTAAATGATCATATTTTGAGTATGTCAGGTATTTCCTACAGGGTCCCTGGTTAACACTTCTTAACTATATTGACCACAGACAGAATTATTTTGGTGAATAAATCTCCTCTGCTATATAAGAGTTAGAATTATCCCCCGTATTGTCATCCTAGAGTGATTCTGTCCTGAACAAGGAGCCGCTCCCTGAGTAGAGACGATGAGGCTCAGAATGTCCTTTCTGTGACAGTGAGGACGTTCTCTAAGTGATGGCTCCACGGCGGGGCTGCAGAGCCTCAGCAATGAGGCATAAATGGCTGCAGTGTTCACCCTGATGCTGGCTGTTGTCACCAGCAGTGGGGGTTTAGTGAGAGCCCAGGCAGCACAAGCAGAGGGGTTTGCCTCACTTCCCCAGCGACCTGGAGCACAGTGTGAACAGTGGCCGTGTCACCCAACATCTGACAGTAATGAGCAGCTTCATCCTCGGGGTGAAGACCATAACTTAGCAAATAACCTGAGTTCATGAAGGCATCTTTGGACCCAGAGAAGCAACTGGGATCCAGAGCCTGGGTCTTACTTGAGACTGAGTAGAGACTCAGAAGATATTGGGAAGGGCTCCCTGGCTTCTGGTGGTAATGGAGGAGAATTTGTGACACCAACATAGGGAAATCTCTCCATGTTCACCTCAAATTTGCTATAAATCTAAAGCTTTTCTAAAAAATAAAGTCTAATAATAAAAAAAAAGAAAGAATAAGAGCTCTGTGGAAACCATATGGTAAAGAGAAAAACAATCAAGAGAGGATAAATTTAGAGTTCCACCAGGTACAAGAAAATAAAAAAGACAAATAAGAAGCAATGTATCTCCATCACAATAAATGTAACAATAAATGAGGAAGATAGTAGAAAAACAGTAGATCTAATTGGCACATCAACATCATGTTTTTAAATGACAGAATAGGATAACCACTTACTAAATTTGAAACAAAAACAGATAATGCACAAATATACAAAGTAAGAAATGACCTGTGGAAAACAATGAATAAAATCTGTTAGCCTCTGTCAAAAATAAATAAATTGCACACTTTCCTAGAAAGATTAAAAAAAAATGGTTCCATTAGAAAAAAATGAATAAACAGAACAATTTCGTCAGAAAATACTATTATGGAACTATTTCACAAAAAGGCATAAGATACAGTTAGTTCCACAAGGGGAACTAATAAACCTTCAGGAATCAGACGGTTCCAATTTCTGTGCTTCATATATATATTTTTTTTTCAAAAAATTGACAAAAATGGAAAATATGCTAATGCTTGTGGAAAGCAGATATAATAGTTAATACCTACACCAGATAAATAAAATACAGGAAAAGGTAAATTACACAATACTAGCAAAAAGATTCCAATATCAGAATAATAAATTGATACTCCATTACCGGATGTGATTTATTCCAGGCATACAAGTTGGGTCCCATGTTGATATATCCTTTAATATAATAATCATATTACTAGATCAACAGATAAAATCATATTGTCTCAAAAGATCCTGAAAGAACCTTTGACCAAATTTAAAACAAATTCCTAATAAACAACACATAAAAATAGAAACAGACAGATACACTTATAATACGATAATACACATTCTCTTTCATACTTAGTCCTACAGGCAGCACGGTAGTTAATGGGGTGCGGAAGGAGGGCATTTTAACAAAGACCAGGAACAGGCAAAGGTGACCTTTACCTCCGTTATCATGCAACATCATTCTGCAAGTATTAGAAAATGCAATTCAACAAGAAAAACATTAATGGTTAGATCTTAGTGTTGATGGGGATGGACAAGTAGTCATTTTGAAAGGCCTAAATGCATGATTTAGACTTCAATACTCCAGTGCTGGTGCAGAAGTGACAGAAGAAATCTCCCCAGTGAGCAAAAAGAACAGGCATTCATACTGAGGACTAATGAGTGGATGACATAGCTCTGGAAATTTCTGGAAATAGGTAATTGACCAAGGATGGAGATACAGGATTTCCTAGTCAGAATTCAGGTCTGAGATGACCACAGTTGAAACTGACCCCCCAGTCCATGAACTTCAATCCAAAAAGACTCTGTGTCCCAACCTGATGGGGAAACAGACTTTGTTTCTTTGTTTCCTTTGAGACCCTTTGTCCGGGAATGGGCTGCAGTGAGTGACTGGGAGGACAGAGGGGGAGGAGGAGCCTTCACTCCCAGGTGGTGCCCCTGGATGAACCTGGAGCCGTGGAGGCTGCAGCAGGAGCATCGGAAGCAGAAGCCACAGGCCGAGCCTGAGCAGACAGCTGTGGGGGTTTCCCCTCCCGGCAGATGAGGAAGCGACTTCTGGTCTCAATTTCTCGCAGGCCTGGAGCTCTGTGTGAGCACTGGGGCTGCTGTCACAGGAGCGGCAGTGAGAATCAGCCTCATCCGCAGGCCTCAGCCAGTGATGATGGTCAAGGAGCCTGAGTTGCCAAACTTGGAGCCACAGAATCAAACAGGGACCATGCGCAACCCAAGGAGCTACTACTCTCGTAATAGATGAGGAGTTTGGGGCCCAATCCTGGGAGCTGTTCGTACCCGGACACATACTGGACACCCCTGATGTGTCCTGACTCAGGCACAGCTGGATTCTGTGTCCCTGCTTCTGCCCTGACCTGTCATCGCCTCTGTCCCCTGGACACTCTGCCCCTGGCATGCAGGAATTTCTGCTCAATTTAAGAAAATCACACAATGTGTTGCTACGAAAGTGAGTCTTAAGGGGCAGAATTTAAGAGGATGTGGACAGATGTTCTAGACAGAGTTCCCAGGGGAGGGTCTCGGACCACTTTTAGGTCAAACAAACAAAGGAAGCAGCTGACATGGCCGAGGAGTGGGGGCTGCACAGGAAAGCTCCATCGCTTGGGGGACAGCAGGTTTTTGTCTCACTTCCCCACAGGCCTGGAGCACTGTGCCAGCACTCAGGCTGTCATCATAGGACACACAGTAATAATCAGCCTCGTCCTCAGACTTCAGCCCAGTGATGGTCAGGGAGGCCGAATTGCCAGACTTGGAGCCAGGGAATCGATCGGGGACCCCAGAGGGGCGTTGACTGTTACTATAGATGAGGGTTTTGGGGGCTGTTCCTGGGAGCTGTTGGTACCAGGATACATAATTACCCCCAATGTTGGAGCTGCTTCCAGTGCAGGAGATGGTGACCCTCTGGCCCAGGGCCCCAGACACTGAGGCTGCCTGAGTCAGCATAGACTGGGCCCAGGATCCTGGAAATGAGAGAGAAACAGAGATAAATCTTGGGTCTAGAGATGAGAGGAGGAAGCATGGTCCCATGTGTCTTTCCAGGGCCTTTTCTCTTATCCCTGTATCTAGTCACCTGTGCAGTGAGCGATGAGGGTGAGAAGGATAGGGGACCAGGCCATGGTGGAGATTGTCACTGAGTCCTGCCTTCTGTGACCCTGCAGCTGAGGCAGAGCTTCCCCCAAATCTCTCCCTTCCCCTCTTCATACTCTGAGAGAGGGAGGGTCCCTTCATGCAAATGAGATTTCCCCCAGCTTTTGATGCCTCACTGGTCCCTGGTCAGGTCCTTCTGCCTGAGGTGCCAGAGGGGTAGGCAGGGGGTGGGGCTGTGTGGGGCCCAGGGGGTGGGGAGGTCACAGCTGTGAGCCTTGAGCAGAGGGCACGTGGCAATGCCAGGTGGCTGGTGCAGCTCTGATCTCTGGGAATGGGCCCTGAGAGCCCCCTGGTGTCCACACCCTGACACACTATTGTGTGACATTTTGACCAGAGCCCATCAGAGACAGCACCTGCCTCCCCACTGCTCTGCCCACTGTCCCCCTGCCTAAGGGGCAGGACAGGTGTTCCCTTATGTGGCCTCCCCATCATCTCTGGGCAGTCTTTATGCTCTACTCAGACTCCTCAGGGGGGAGTCTGTCCACAGCTCCCTTGGCTGTTCAGTGGTCAGGACTGGTGGTGTCTCTTACACAAACTCCCCTTAGGTCAAGATCACATACAGAGCAGTGAGCAGCCCCCAGGGAGGCAGGTCCCCTTCTGTGCAGAACACCGGGATCTTTTGCCGTATGTGATTCCTCCTTTGTAGTGACTGAGCAGTGTATCTCCAACACTCAAAGACTTTGCTTCAGAGGTCCTTTTCCAGATGAACTGTAAGTACCTTTTTTGCTATGCTCTTTGATCAAGCTTTACCATTTTACTGGTCTCATTAATATATGAGTTGAATAAAATATTTTAAATTTGTTCATTCTGTATTTGTATAAGAGTCAGATCTCTACCTTTTTGAGTCAGGCTACCTCCGATTCCAGCTCCAGGACACAGAAGAGGCAAGTGACTGGATAGCACCACCTGTGACCAGGACCCTGTGAGGTGGAGAATCTCAGCAATGACCTCCAGGTGAGCTTGTGGAGCACTTGCTTGGGGACAGGAGCAGAAGGGACCCAGCATGGGGTGTGTGTCCAGAGATCCATGAGCTGAGCCTCTGGGACTGGTCCTCACCCGAGGGACAGAGCAGGTGGAGGAGGGAGCCCAGGTGATGGTGGGCAGTGTCTCTAGTGTGATCTCTTCACACTTCTTCACCCTTCTTACCACATCAGGGAAGAGGAGGCCATCATAGCAATTTTTTGTGGCTTTCTACCTGTCTTGAGACGACTGAATTCAGGTCAATGTCTGGCAGATAGGAATGGTTATGGCTTTTCCTAAGACTGATCTTTTGTAGGGCATTAGAGTGATCTGGGAGGCAGACATGGAGCTTCATGAGATAGAAACTACCTGGCCTGTGTCTCCTGATCAGCCCACAGTGTCCACAGTGCAAGACCCAACATGAACCAGCAATGAGGGTGGAGGGCAGAGTTATGCACTTGGTGAGACTACTTAAGCAAACCTTCTGTCCTTTCCCTCTCCTATCTGGACCCAAATCTCCCAGCCGTGTGGTGAGCATGTGATTGACCCCAGCTCCAATTCCAGGAATGGGCCTTGTGTTTCCCAAAGTAATCAGACAATCCCCTAAATGGGCACCATGATGGTGTCAGGGGAGATGGCATGAGTGATCTGGTCCAGTCCTTGGAAAAAACTGGATTCTTGATCAGTGGACCAGGGAGAGTAAGTCTCTCTCACTCTGGAGGGTTTGTTGTGTAGATGTGATGCCTGGGACTACAGCAGTATAATGTCCCCATGTGGGAAGTCAGCCTGGGGACATAGGGATCACGGAGAAAGAGGCACCTCAAATTAATCTCAGAGAAAAATGATTGAGACCCATTGAAATTCCCTGCTTGTCATCTGCAGAGGAAACATTCCTGTGTCACCACTGAGTAAGGCAGGATGGATGTTGTCATGGTTTCCATCGTGGGGATGAGCATAGTCGTTAACCCCACACCCTTGTCCATGAAGTTTGCCCCAATAGTGTGGCTACTCATATCCCACCCAGTTCCTAAGGGCCAACCTTGAGCCCATACCCTATTCTTCAACACCTCCTTCCTCCCGAAACATGCTGAATCTGACCATTCTCTTCCAATAACCCCAGCTGGTCACACTGTCTTGACTCTTCCCTCCTATTTTTTCTTCTCTGTAGCATCTGGACTTTTCTTCATAAGCTTACATCAAATCCTGTAGCTTCCTTGTCAAACCCTCTAACAGCTCCTAGACTCGCCTCACGAGGCTCACCTCTCCTCACTCCGTGGTAACATCTCATTGGTGTTGATTCTTCTACTTGATTGTTCTCTCCTCCCCAGACAGTGTCGGCTCTCTGCTGACAGAGACTGCACCTGTCTAGTCCACACTGACCATCACAACCATCTGGTGGGGCTGGCTGAGTCAGCACAGACCGAGCACAGGACCCTGCAGGGGGTCACATGGCACATCACTGCTGCAGAGCCTGACACTGAGAAGGCACAGGGACCCCTGTGTGTTGTCCAGTAACTGGCATTTGCCACTCACTGACCCATCCTTCTGACATCTGAGAGATCTGTACTGTCACTCTGCTCACACCTATCCACACATTTTCTCAAGGGAAAACATACAAATAAGTAATAATATAATTAATACAAGTGTTATGTAACCTATCTACTCACTGCTGACATTTGTACTTGTTTTTATGTCAGAAAATATTTCACCACTTGTTCGAATTTTTTTTTATATTACCTGCTGAATTTTGTAATTGTTTTCCTACAGATACGGTCAAAGTGTTATATTTTTTTATACTGGGACCAGTACAAACTACATTTTCAAGTACTTTTTAAATTACATACTTTTAATATTATATACTATTTTTATTAATTGTGAACTGGATAATTTTCGTATTCATCATAATGAATTTTTAGTACAATCTCTAGACTTCTAGGTACATAACCATAGTTTACATGAATAAACATTAAATTGACCTTTCATTTTTTAATAAATTATTTTTTTTTACTTCTGTTAGTGATTTGACACAAATCCCAGCTTAAAATGTTTCACAATAGCTTTGTCATAAGCCACCATGTATTGTTCAAGATTAAAAAAGAAACAATACTAGTATTTTATCTTTAGGAATAATGCTTCTCTCTAGTTTAAAGATACACAATCGTAAGCCATTGAGGAAGTATCCTTTATTTGTTAATTTCTATATTCATTTTCCTAAAGGCAGGAAAGGTGATTGAATGTAACTGGCAGATTCTTAAGCATTTATTGAAAATATCGTGCATGTTTTTCTCTTTAAATCTTTTGCAATGAGAAAGGAGCCAAAAAAATGATTTTGAAACAATTTCACTCTTTTCCCCTTCATGACAGATCCCTACTTTTCTCTCTCTGGGGTTTATTATAAAGCTTTACATTCACTAATCCTCATGTTTGATTCCCAACACCTGCTACAGAGCCTTCATCTTTCATTTCCGGAATTTTCCAGGGAACTGACAGACCTAAGGCCAGTGCCTTAACTGAGTGGTAAAATGATGAGGACAGTGGTCTCCTTTTGCCCTCATGGACTGTCACAGATTTCTCCTGATGTGGATAGAGAACCACACATTGGCAATCCTGATGCAGCCGTGACATCAGGGACACAAACAGTCCTAAGGACGTGGATGCACAGGCATCAAGGTTCCCTCGTTTCCCTCCAGCCCGAGGTGATTCCTGTGACCCTCAGAGCAGCCTCACCCCTGTTTCCTGTTTCTGCAGGAAGGTCAGTCATTACAAGGAGCCTGGGGTCTGAGGGCAAGGAGCTTACAGGGAGCATGTGTACCCAGAGCTGAGGGTCAGGCCCAGGAGCCCAGCATAGAAGATGACTGCTCATGGCCTCAGGAGGACAGGAAGAGGGCCACCAGACAGGAGTTGGGTACAGACAGGAAAAAGTAGTCATAGCTTTGGGATCATGACAAAGACCTGGGGTGGATTACACGGGTTCCTTGTGTTTAGATTCTGGTAGGTTCCTAACTCCTTAGTTGATACATTGGCATCAGCCTCTGTTGACCTTTCCATGGATTATCGAGAAGAAACCTGTGCCCTGAGGATAAAGTTTCTGCCTGTGGAGAGGTGACTAGGATGAGAACATGCTATTAGAAATTGTGCAGCCATCTTCAAAGCCACACACCTTGGAAATTCTTCAGAACTTCCAGGATGGTAGCAGACTTAACAGCAGAGTCACCCTTGATGTGAAATTAGATGCAGGAAGTGACCAGAGAGTGATGGTGACATGCTCTGTGTGCACGGTGGGTGTGCACGTTGCCCTGTGTGCGTGTTGGGTGTGCACGTTGTCTTGCGTGTGTGTTGGGTGTGCACGTTGTGCTGTGTGCGTGTTGGGTGTGCACGTTGTCCTGTGTGCGTGTTGGGTGCCCACTTTGTCCTGTGTACATGTTGGGGTATGCATGGGGGTGTTGGGACAAAGGAGTATTCACACAGCTGTGATGTTTACGTTGGAATCTGTAGGATGAGTCAAGTGATCTCCCCGCAGAGATGGGGAAGAGCCCTTGAGTCAGAGGTCAGGGCATGTCCCCAGGTCAGAAAGAGGGGAGGCTGGTTGCTGGTGACCCTGGTGAATGGCCACTCGACGTCAGAGAGGAGGAACTTCTGAGCACGTGATTCCAGCACCTCCAAATGGAATAGAAAATAAAAATCTGGGAAAATAAATAATCCCTTACTTAAACTTTGAAATCCTGTTTTACTCATTTTTAATGCACGTGAACGTACATATATTTGTATACCCACAAATATATTCACAATGATACCACCTACATACATTTAATTGTGCAGGTCCAGTCTCTTTCACTCACATTATTATTTTTGTTGGTGCTGAAGAGTCCACACTATTGTCAGTATGACCCCAGACCCTCTCTGTTCCTAGGCAGTGAAATGGTGCTCTGTGAGGTCCCCATGTGCTGGTGGAGGCCGGGAGCTCAGGGTTTGTGTCTCACTCCCCACTGGCCTGGAGCACTGTGTGAGCACTGAGGCTGCTGTTCCATGCTGAGCAGTAATAATCAGCCTTGTCCTCAGTCTGGAGCCCAGAGATGCTC